AGCTGTCTGAGAACACACTCAATCCTGATTTGACTTGGATCATACTGCCAGCTTCACACTCACACCCTTTCATTTTGAGGCGTGTCTGCACCTGACACTTTTAACATATAAACTCTCTCTTTCTTTACTCAAACACACATTTAAAAGTAGCTCAGCGCTGGTTAGCTCTTTCATGTGGCCAAAGCCAAGAAAGCCAAGGAGCCCAGCCCATGTTAATTTTCTGCTCTAAGTCGGTCTGGTTTATTTTTCTTACAGAATCAAAAGTGTCTCCGATCCATTGCTGAGATCCCTGTTTGGCAGATTTACTGGCTGGCCCCTGGCCCTGCATTTCAGCTCCACTCACTCTGATCCTACTCTGACAAACACACACAGATCTATACTTTACAAGAACACACACACATATTCAGAAATACATACACAGCAGTGCAAAGGGTTCAGGATCCTGCAGGACCCAGCATGGGTAATATTTAATCTAATATGTGCAGAATTGCGTGCATGACTTCATCGTTGTTGGGTGAAATTAAATATATGGAGATATGGGAAGCTGTAATTGTTGGACTAAACCAGGGGATAGTCTTCCCGTGAAGTAAGTTTTAATTGAATTAGTTGTCTTGCTTTCTCCATGTCCCTCTATTCTTACTGTTTATTAAAAATCCGAGTTCTGAAGTTTCAGCATTTGGTTTCTATTTGTTGTTCTGAGGAACTGGAAGAGAAACAGGAAGACAAAGCATCAGATTTGGAAAGAGAATTGTAGTTCCTGCTGCTTTTTAAATGCTTGCCTTATGGGACGGTTAAAAACATAAAATAACCGTGGTTGCAGGCAGGCACAATCTGAATTTCCACAGGTGGGAGTGGAAAGGTGCATCAAGAGAAACAGATGTTAACATTTGTAGATTTTACAAAACAAAAAAATACTGTGCAGACTTCAATGTGTGGGCATACAAACATACAGTAGGCCTACATACATATAAAGACAAACCAACACAAATGTTACATTAGCAGCCTGTTTGAGAAAGAATTGGCAAAAAATGACCACAAAATATCTGACCTCACAACTTCTGAAACAAGCTGTTTCATTCCAGATTAAACAAATAAATACCGATAAGAAGAAAGTTAAATAGAGGTGGAACGCTTTGTGTTGGTTTAACATTTAAACATTTAGAGAAAATCAAAATTTACTGCCTTGAAAGTCACTGTAGTCGTCTAAATCCCTCACGTCAGAGTCCACATGACGCCAGTCCTGTTCAGCACTTTCTCAGGTTCCACTTTGTATAATAAAGGCGTCTTTATTAAACATCAGGCCTGCTTCATAATTTACAACCAAATGTCATTACCAGCTGCAGCTACGGGACCAGCGGTATATTACTCCACTGTTTTAATTTGTCTGGAACCCACACAAAGTCACCAACGGCCCATTTTAGGTCCAAAGCCATGGGTTGTAAAACATGCATTTTCTGTACAAAGTCTATTGGCATTTCAGTTCACACCTCAATCCTCAATGGAAACATCTTTTTAAAAGCATCTCGATATTTTACTCAGACATGTTCAAAGTTCAGCAAGAACAGATTCTTTTTCAATAGATGCAGAGCCTCTAGAGGTTTTCAAGTGCTAGAAATATCATTTTAAATACTACCAATTAAAATATCTGTGCCTTTTGCCAAATAACCCTTGTTATGTTAATCTAAAAGCCAGATTTCAAGAAACTTAAATGATATTCAAATGTGTACATTGGTGTGCAGATTTTGCTTTTGCCCTACAATAAACATGTTTTCTAAATCTGTTCACTGTACTCATGTGGGAGAGCAGGGAAACAAAGCCAACACCCAGAATGGGATTTTCTCTGACATTATAAAACACACCAGATCTACTAGGTCCTTATTTTCTGTTCACTTTTTCCCACACCTTTATTCAGCTGCGTGGCCGTGCCATAAATTAACACTACCAGCCAACATTTGTGAAGCTTTCAGGAGAACGGAATGGAAACATCTCCTGTCGCGAGTGTGTAAAAGAAGATGTGTAACCTCATCAAAGCTGTCGCCCTGCTTCTCTCTGCCCTCATCTTTGTGGTCACACTCCGTCATCTTGTGTCAGACCCCACCTATCTGAAGAAATAACTCTCTCTGTACTGTAGGTGAATTGTTGGTATACAGTAAACTGTATAATTTTGGGTAAAAATATGCATAATCAGTGCTATTTACCTTCTTAAAGGCCTTTAAACAAAATATCACTGCTGATTATTTTCCCAAAAATACCTTTAAACTTATTTTGACAGTGAACAATAGTTTACTTTTTGTCCCCATGTTTTCACTTTCCAACAACAAAGCTAGACAATCAAAATGTTTTGAGAACACCAAGGATGGAGTGTCCTTGAAACGTGAACGCCACACATAGCAAAGTTTGTAAAATGCTGATTGCAACTTTCGAAATAATTTTGCATGTTCCTGTGCGATGGTTTTCAAAGTCGCCCAAATTGAATGGAAACCAGTGTCTGCCTGGAAGGTACGAAATCAATCTTAAAGACATCTGTTCTGCTATGGAGGATAATTGGCAGAGTCTACATGACTTATAATCAAACATGCAGAGCCACCGGTATGGTGCTTTCAGGCAGCAATCATTTCAGAAGGGTTGGATGATTTTTCAAATGTGGAATATCTACGTTTGGATTTTTTTTTCTCTGTAGAGGCTCCAAATCCGAAATCCAATGTCCTTGTCACGACAGGTAAACTGAGACGTGTCGCTTCATCCTTCATTCTACACGCTACGCAGCCTAAGGGTTTCTACTTTTTCCTTTTTATTCACAAGTCTTTTGTCCAAGTGTCTCTGTTGTTCTCCCCCTCCTGTACATACTTCAGTCAGACAGTTTGTTACTATGATGAAAGGATGCCTTTTTTGTTTGTAGATAAGTGCATGCGCATGTCATAGTCTCTTTATGTACAGTGTGTGTGTCTCAGTGTATAAGTTAAGTGTGTGTACGTGTGTGGACGTTTATGTGTGTGTTTTTTTAAGTCACTTAAATCCGCCCTCCTGTTCCGCTACACATTCAAGCGCTCCTTGGTGCCCTCTGCTGCGGCTTGCTCCTGCTCTTCCTCCCTGCTGCTCTTCCTCCCCCTCCACCTCCTCTTCCTCCCCCATGCTTGTGCCTCTCCCCCTTCTCTTTCTCCTTCTTCTGCTCCACCTTGATTTCAGTGTATTGACGGTGGTTGCGTGGGGGGCGGTATCCTAGCGCCTTGCAGTGCTGGCCGATGTTTCCGGGGTGAACCAGCGCCATCACGTCTTCATACCAGGGCTGGCTCCCTTTGCTCTGATAGGATGAGGCGGACCAGGAAGCGAGGACGCGATTAGCCGAGGGGCTCCAGACGGCGAGGCGCACGGTGACGGCGGTCCAGTGGTAGCCATGCTCCTCCACCTGGCAGTGGTAGACGCCGCCGTGAGTCAGCTCAGCTCGCCGAATCAGGACGCCCCGTTCAATTACCACCAGCTGGTCACCTGTTACCACCTGGGGGAGAGACAGAGGGCATTTTTTTTTTTAAAAGGCTGCAACCTGCGTTCTTTATTAAAATACAGTACATGGGTAATAATTCAGATAGAACAAAGCACAAGATAATGAATTGTGTGACTAACCCAATGCATGGTTTATTAGAAAAATAAACATTGAAGTAGTAATTTGATTTAGGCATCTGTTCGCCAAGAGATAAAACAATAAAAGATATATATGCCTAGTGTTAACACTTTTTCGTTCTTAATATAGAACTAAGTATTTAGGTGTCGATATGTTGTTGACTTTACTTTAACATTAGCAGTCACTGGTGACCGGATATAGTTTGGCTTAGTGAACGTGTGTCTCTTGTGATCTGAGGCGCAGCAAAATCCGGCCGGAGCTCGCTGCTCTCCGGTCGAGAGAGTCTGGCAGCGGTGCGTGTCAGCGACGTGGCAGTCGGGGAAGGCAGCGGATTGGCTATCGGGAGAGTCGGGAATTTAACGCGCGCAGGGCTTTTCGGCTAGCAGCTTAGCATTGTGGGAGAAGCAGAACAGCTTGATCCCATCGACGAAAGGGATCTAGAGTCTGTGGGGGCGCGGCTCGAACCAAAGGAAAACGGCAACAAAACTTAAATTAGAATCAGCATTTTACAAGCGTGCGTAGTGCATGGGGCGCTCTTGGGTTGAGTTTCCCGAATGTTCTTGTAGTCCATTAAAGGGTGTTTCATGTTGTGTTGCTGTGGACGTTCTAATACCTGGAAAATGCGTTTAATACTTTTTAATAGGGCCTTAAATTTTTCCTAATGATTTACAACTTTTAATACTTTTTAATACGGCGCGCGGACACCCTGCTACATGTGCCCATATACACAAGTAAGGATCTATGTATGAATGTTAACAACTTAATTGACAGTTAATCTGATTCAGATTTTCATATTGAGAGACTTGATATTGTCTCAGTACTAAGATAAGGGTAAGGCAATGTGTGTGTGTGTGTGTGTGTGTGTGTGTGTGTGTGTGTGGTGTGTGTGTTTGGTGTGTGGTGTGTGTGTGTGTGTGTGTGGTGTGTTGTGTGGTGTGCTGTGTGTGTGTGGTGTGTGTGTGTTGTGTGTGTGTACTGTTAAGTCTCGGGGCTGTTCTCCCCTGCCTGGCTTGTCGCAAGGTCACAGGGCAGGTGTCTGATCTGGGGGAGAACACTCGATAGTGCTGTTGCCTCAGCACCCTCATTATCGCTTCTGCTGCGGCTTCCACCTGCAGCCCGGCGAGTGACGCAAAGATCAGATGTGGAGCAGGTTAGTAGAATCGGCTTTATCTTCCTGTGTTATCATTTAGTTGCTTTTGCGCTTCTTGTTGCAGAAAAACACCGTATTATTTATCAATTATCACTGATCTTTATGTGGACTTTATGTCCAAAATG